AAAATATATCGATATTTTTTAAAAACTCGATATATCGCCCAGCCCTAATGGAGGGTCCCTCAGATCTCAGCCCAGCATTGGGATACTGTGGGACTTAACACAAATGTTGTGAGAGTGGGAAGTGTTAAGAGTGCAGCGTGGAGCAGGGGCTAAAAATAGTTAGTAGAACCCAGGAAGTCTTGGGCAAGAATTCCTGGATCATCTATCCGTGGAGGAAAAATGAAGATATGAAGATAATATTTTAGGAACTTGTGATCTAAATTCTTCCCCGGCAGCTTTATTTAAATCCCTAAAAGTGGCGACATCTCTCCCAGAGCTGCAGTTTGGTGATATCAACATGTTTCTTGTAGAGAATTGCTCAGCTTACACTGCTGCCAGGAGGAAAGCTTCAAAGTGCAGACATGTATCCTCCATATGGATGGGTAAATAATTTGAAAGTGTGGGAGGGGGAAACAAATTGTTGATCATTAAAGAAAAGCTTAAACTAAACCTTATGCTTTGTTGACTTGGACATTTACAGTACAGGACCAGAAACGTTCCAGCAACAAACACGTTTCAAATGAATGTTGTGCCATAACAGTAAAGTTATTCCAGTGTCAGTAAATCAGCGTAAATGGTTTACATGATTTGCCACTGACAGTCTGGGTTGCCCTGGAAAAGCAGAGACTGGTTTTGGCCTGTAAAGCAGGATCAGGAGAGGTGCGTTCATGTTGGTGCCACGCCCTACACTCCTCTGGCAGCTGTAAATAAACACTGATCAATGCATCTGATAGCAGAGAAAGCATCTTTGACCCACTCCTGCTTTTTCCACTTAAGAAATATTGCCAAACTCAGGACTATTGTCTCCAACGGTGAACTGGAGATGCTTTTTCATCACTTCATCTTCTCCCAATTTGATTATTGTAAGCGCTCCAAAATGCTGCAGCACAGCTGTTAAACCACAGTCATAACGTCACTGACATCACTTCCATGTTAGTTCTTGCACTGGCTTCCAGTTGGGTACAGATATTAGTTTAAGATCCTGACTCTTACTTTTATGTCCTTATGAGGAGAGGCCCCCACACTCATTGAGCTTCTTCCTTAGATCCACTGATAGTGGTCTCCTGACTATTCCACGGGTCGTTTGAAAACAAAGAGGGATCTTTCCAAACCCCAGCAGCAAAACTGTGGAACAGTTTACTTCCCCCTGAAATGCAACTTTATTCCTTGATTTGTTTTTGTTTTTCTGTTGGCACCAAACAATTTTACTGACCAAAGTGCTTAAAGCATATTTTTACACTACATTAAACTGTGTCTCCACCGACACAGTACTCTTACCCATGTTTGTGATTGGTTAGATGCTGCCAACATGCCATCTGCTATGTGAACATGCTTGGAAATCCTGGGCTGACTTAGCGAGTTCCTATCCAGCGTCGCGCTCCTGCTTATTCTGAATACAAGTGTTAAGGCAAAGGTAAATACCCTGAGGCCTGCACTGTGAAGCAGGATTTAAAAATAAAACAGAGATTCTACTTACAGAGCAGACACAGGTGTTTCCTTCATCGTCATCCTCACTCATTTAAGCTATTTTACATTTCTGTCACTGACACTAAGTAAATGCTCTGTCCTTGGAGTGTGTGGTTTTCTATGGGTACAAAAAAAATAGAGGTGGTAAGGAATTATTTTAAAGCTATATTACACTGTAGTGCCATTTTATTTTCTTAAAACACCTGAATTAAACCCTGTTACTTAAAAGATGCGACACAAACACAGAAGACCAGAAAACATGAGTGTAGTGTATAAAAGCTCCACAGTGACCAATAACTGAAAATACATATAAGTAAAAACTTCCTAAAGATGATCTGATTTTATTTTTCATCTGAGATTATCTACTTTTAGAAAACATTTCAGGACTGAATAGTTGTCGGATATGTTTGAAGTCAGGAATGTGACTTCGGACTCTGACTTCATCATTGGTGTAGAGAGCAGCAGGTGGGCGGGTCAAAAAAGGACATTTAAGAAAAAAACTACACAGCAGCGACTGTGGACAGACGCTAATCTGGTGTCACAGAGCAGCGCTATGGATGCAGGACAATCTGTCTTGATCTGCGGGATCATCTTTGCCTTTCTTCTCTTATTTACGACCGCAGGTAAGATTGAACTGTTACAATAACTTTTTATAAAGTCAGCAGCCGTGTGTATTTATCAGTAATCGTGTCACTGAAACAACCTTACCAGAGTCATGTTTCCCGTCTTCACCACTTTTCTCTTTAAATGTTCACGCTGCATTTCTTGATGGAATTGTCCGATCAGGAGATCCAATCCTTTCACGTTATTGTGATGGATGTGGTGTTTGTGAGGAAAACACCGGGAGCTGGAGGTTTAGCCTGGCCGCGCAGCAGATCGACACGCCCGCTCCTACTTCAGCTCTCTCCCCCCGCCCTCGTCGCTCCTGGTCCGACTGAAAATCCACGGCGAGCTCGGTGGTTTAAAGATTTCCTCCAGAGTGTTGTAGACCCTCTAAAAGAAATCACTGTGATGGACTTAACACCGTTAATATGATGTCGGTTAGGTCTGGTCAGCTACCCGCAGTGCAGACAGCACGTCCACCCGCAGAGACTCGCTGGCTACACTCCACTGTACAGTCGCCATGTTTGTAGATTTCCTGTAGTCGTATCCAGGCCTCAAACACAAGCTCCTTATTCCTCTCCGTCTCCGCTCCATGTTCACCCCAAACAGTTTGTAGCTGCTTTGACAAACACACACAGCTCCTTTGTGACAGATTAAACACGAAAACAAACATTTTATCGTCGAATAATCCGGAGACGGAGTAAACTTCCCTCCGCGCTCATCGACGTCCAGAAACAACCGCGACAAAACAAAAAGGTCCAAATCCAGAATTAAGCCGAGTTTATCTGCAGGTGCTCCTTCAACGCCTTCCGGCCACCACAGATGGACTTTCTGAGTTATATTACCGTCTTTATACCGATAATGTGCTGAAGCTCGCGTCAAACGACGAGAGCGGAGAGCTTCTCTGCGGAGGGATCAGGATGCGTTCTAAGTCACGTGATACACCGACGCGCGATCTGGTGTCGTGTTTAACCGTCAGTTTTTGTGGGGTAGTTATTCATGTATAAATGTATTTGTTTACAATAATTACATACAGTTGTGTATGTGGTAACATCAGTATATTTGCATGTTAACAGTAAAATATGTGAGATTTGTCTGAACATTTGCACAGAGCTGTTGAACTGAATGCATTTATCCAATTTTAACTTCAGCTCAACTGTAAAAACACCGATAAAACTTTAATTCTCTAATTATGTAATATCCGGTCAAACGGCATTAAAACAACAGAATATACAAACAGAACGTGGGTAAATGTGTGTTTTTACCCACGTGGATTAAGCAAATCCACGAATAGAGAACAGCTGAATGGGATAAGCAGAAAAAAATGAATGGTTAAATGGATGGAAGGGAAAAAAATTCAGCTAACATAATTTTATTGATACACATTGTTGAACATAAGAACATATTTATTACAGAGGATCTATTTGAATTTCAAACAGAATAAAAAAAACTGTAAATAACTATTCAAAGGTGTGTTTGCAAAAAGCTGATGATTTTTTTGTGAAATACATGAAAAATCTAACATGAAGCTGTTTTGTTTACACTTTGTGTTTCACACTTTGATGTTAAAGCAGACTTTTAGGACTTTGTTTACAGCCTGTTTTTACTCTGCTGTATTGTGACAGATTCTACCGGGTGTGATAGGTTCATAGTTCTCTGATACTTTGACCTTTAACCTCTCTGCTTTGTTTTGTTTCCTCTTTCAGACCAGAATAACATCACAGCTGAGTCTGGACAGGACGTCACTCTGACGTGTCGAGCTCCAAGCATCAACAATGATCTTGCAGAGTGGAGCCGAGCTGACCT